ATAAAACAAAAAATCCAATCACCAATGATGATTTCTGCATCTTTCCATCATAGCCCAGATGGAAATTCAACTCAAAAAAATACAGGGAAAAGTATACATACCGTTTTTCTTTTCATTTTTTGAACAAATAAAAATAAATAAATTTAAGAAAAAGAAGCCCAGATGAAAATTCAACAGATAAAATCCAGGGGAAATGATGAAACCAACCTGGGTGACATCTTCTGCTATGTTAAGCCCTTCAACCTCTGTTACAGGCTGCTGTTCAATGGAAACTGCTTTGCAGGTTACAGAAGAAAAAGAAACCTTCTCTTCGTAGAACTTTTTGCTGGAAATACTACTGGAATTAACGTTCTTGAAGCTCATAGAACTGACCCCAAAACGACCCCGTTGGAGCAAAGGATTTTCTGGGCAAAATTCAGACTTGGAATTGCAGAGAAAAGTCAAGGGCTTGTTGATTAAAGAGGAAGCCATTGCTGTGAATTCCTCCTCTCCTCTTCTTCTTCCTTTTTCTCCTTTCTTGTTCTTCTTATCTTTTTCTTTTCTGAGGTTTCTTTGGGACTTTTGTTCTTTTTCTACTTTGTTTTTGGCTTTTCGGGAAATATCGGCTTTTGAGTGACCTGAAACGACAACGTTGTAAGGGGACTAGTTCAACATGTGGGGGCCGTGGGGCCGGTTGGAAAGATCCTCTCAATTAAGGATTGTGATTCGTTTGTGGAATTGTTAAAGAATGATAAGGACCAAAGACTCGTAACTAGTAAGCAAGGGGTAAAGATCTTAAAATTGCAAATTGGGAGCTAGAAATGTCATATAATCTTTTCAACCTGAAAATATTTGTAGAGTCATTTTGAGACGTTAATCATTTAAGTCCACCTATAAAAAACGATTCTAAAAATTACGACGTTCCTAAGCGATAAACACAAACATAATATGAGAATCTCTAAAATAAAAAAAAAATAGATTATTCATTAGTTTGTTTCTGTCGCTTAAGTCGTATCTCGCTCAATATAGGATTTTCTTTTTTTTTTTATATTTTGATAGAAAAAGAAAATTTTAAGCAAATATATTATCCATCTAAAATTTTTCTCTCAAGGTACACTTGAAATATCACGAAATAACCATCGCTTATGCCAAATTATTCATTCCTGACTTCGAGAATCAGAAAACGAGTAGTTTTGTTTTCTTAAAATATGCTAAATTTTAAAATGACAACTCAGAGAAAAATATTACACTATGAGTCAATCATCTTTGAATGTTGTTGTTTAACATTATGGCGACTATTGATTTGGCAGAAAATAAAACCACCTACTAAACTTAATAGATGTTCATTACTTATACATATAAAGACTTCTATTTCCAACAATTTGCTTGAGCATGCTTTGAAAATACACATATATTAATCACATTTTCTGAAAATCAATCACTTCAAAAAACATCATCCAAACAGAGCCATCACCTCAACATCAAGATTTCCGTAGTAATTACAAATACTTCTCTTCTTAGATAAGAACATAAATGATAAAAAGAAAAGTTACTCACTCAACTTGTACTTGAATTTTTCTTCCCCAAGCAACGAAAATGAGGACAACCGTTCCTGGCAGTTGAAAGCCATGATTTGGCCAAAAAATTTTGTGCGGTTCAGATCACATTTTGTAAGTCGATTTTCACGCGCGTGTGTGGAACTCACAAAAATTTGTTCTAAAGTTGTGTCGTGTGCAAAGAAAATTACACCGTGTGCAATTAAAATTATGCATAATAGAACCGGCAGAAACGGTTGTACTACAACCGTTTGTGCCCCTTGTCCCCAAGCAACATAGGCGTTAGACTGCCAAGTGGGAATGTGGTGAAAATTACCCATCGTTATTCAATCATAATAATACTAATAAATAGAGGACAAATTTGATAAATTAGTAGTACTTTAGGCATATTTATTGATTTAATAGGGTATTTTAGTGAAAAAGAAATGTTAGATCTTCTCATAGTGGGAAATCCAGGCAAATTAGTTAGAATGTTCTTGTCATATCCTCCTACCATTATGCCTTTCACTTTTCAAAAATGTTGACCTTTCATCTTACTCTAATCGCATAGAATAAACTTTTGTCCACAAGAAGATTTCATAGTCAAAAATTATTTGATTATCCCAAGACAATCAAGTATCATCCTACCTTAGCATATTATTTACATTCACAATGTCACAATAATGTTAAATTACAGAGGCCGAGTTGCTAAAATAAAATTGCTGAGGATGAAAAAGAAATTAATGGCCAGTTCTTAGACGTGATGAGCTAAGCTTTTGCACATGTACCCAAAACTTAAATTAAATTTTTGGGTTGCACTTTAGTCCTTAATATTTAATTTAATTATCATTTTTCCACACCAAGGAAAGCTACACGTTATTCGATTAAAGTCAAACGACCACATCCACACAGATATATAAAGTCCCTTTCTGCATGAATATGAGAAGACTCTAAACGAAATTGTCTTCTTGCATTTCATACAAAAAGGTGTCCAGATACATTTTTGCTTGACCAAAAATTTGTAAATCCAACTTAATGAGGAGAAAAGAATATTCTCATCAAGAAAAGCATAAACCAAAAAAAATCAAATTTATCATTTAAGTGGCATTTCTGAATTGTATTATTTATGTCTTTTTGGAAGAAAATTCAAATTTAACAAGCCCTTTTTACCATGGCATTTTTATATATATATATACTATGGCATGGTTTTGTTCAAATTAACCTAAAAAAAGGTGCATAGTTAAATTCTATAAAATCAAAATCAACAACTTAGAAATAAATAAAGAGATAAATTAATAAATTTCAATATATAATTGCACAGGGCCTTTAGGTGACCCCAGACTATAATAACAGATACATAAACAAATGGTTTAATTAAAAAAAATAAATTAAATTAATTGCAATAGCAATATTACAACAACAATTAATTGATCAACAAAAAGGAAAACACTTAAATATGTAGTGCTTCTGATAATTGGACCATGGACTCTGATGATCATCTCTAGACTTGGAATGGCTGAAATGGAGAAGCCCACTTGCCCCTATTTTCCCCTCCACCTTGAGCTCTACTCCCATTGTTGCCTTCCACAAAGCCATAGTATCTGAGCACAAATGCCATAACCAGAACCAACCATTCCAAGCAGAAGATGGCAATGGACAATCCTCCAGCCAATTTCAGAATCACAGCAGCATCATCTTCCCTGACATAAGATTTCAGAGCCCCCAGAAAGTTTGAAGTAGTAGTGAAGATCAGCACAGAAACAGATCCCTGAAAAATCGCGGTAAGCACGGTGGCCACCATGTGCAGAGCATACCACTTGTTGGAGCCACCGGAGGCGGCGCTGCAGCCGGAAACGGCTCCAGCGATGGTGAGAACGTGGAGGAGAATGAGAAGGAAGCCGGAGACCGAGGGGACTAGCCGGAGGGAGAGAAGCAGGAAGATGCAACTAGAGGCTGCACCTAAGAGGATGTAGTTGCTGAGCAGGAAGATTTTGTGTGTGTGGTAGTGAGATTTTGCTACATTGTTGCAATCTGGGCTGTTGATTGAGAGTCCCATTTGGAAGAAATTTGAGGAAAGATTGATCAGATTCTTGATTTTTGTATCTGGGATGGATGAAGAAATGAGGAGAAAAGATGTGTATTTACAGGGCTAGTGAGATGGAATGATGGAGTGGGGAGTGAGGGGACTTGGTTTTTAAAGCTTTTGAGGGATTTGACCGTTGCATCATTTTAACGGCTAGATTGCAATAAAATTTAGGACACTTTTTTTTTGAAAGGTAACGGCTATATTTTATGCTTGCTTTGTCTGGATGTTTGGTGAGAGTGAAATGGGCTAGCTGGCAGAAGCACTAAAAGCCAACAAAAACAAATAAAGAAAGAAAAAGAACCTTTTAAAAAGGGAAAATCAGTAGGTAAACTATGAAAGGATCCAAAGAAAGGGGAAATTTGCCACATGCCAAAGAAAAAATAAATTTCATTTTACTTGTATTATTTTATTATTGTAAAAGTAAGAGATGATTTTATCAGTTTTGATTCTAAAACGCCTAGATTTTATTTATGATTTTTAGTATGTTTTATAGAACTAATCTTCTACATGATTACCAGTGAGATTTTCATATTGTATTTGAACTTCATGTTTAAATTTTGATTCCTTTTTACTTCTGTTACATTCATGCTGAAGAAATTCTTTTGCCAATCTTTATTACTAAGAGTTCTTTTGTAATGTGTTAGGCAATTAATTCTTATGTACAATAAATCAAATGCTCACGACCTAATAATGCATACAGATGCAAAGCACAAAAGATTCAAAATCTTCCATATTTCTCTTTTCTTGAGGAAATTCAAAATCTTCCATAATTCAAAATTCATGTGGGACAAATTTTACTTTGCGCTCTCAACTTATATACTATTCTCACTTTGCACCTTTAACTTTAATTTTGAACACTTTACGCTCTTAGTTCTCATATGTGTCCTGTTTAAGCCTAACTGATAATGTGGTAGAAAAATTAACAAAATAAAATTCGACCTAATGGTTGAAATTACACTATCTTGAGCTTCCATCATCCAAAATTTTTTTTTTTATTATATATATACAGAATATTAGCACATGTTTTTCTCTTTTGAGGAGATTTTTGCTTATTGTTGAGATATTTGCTTGTTGTGAAGGTTAAAATATATGTTGTTATCAATTCAGGATTACCCTCTTTTTTTTTTTTTTTTACGATCTAAAGGGGTATTCCGGAATCACCCGAACTAATCCCCCCAGACCGAGCAGAGCTCGCCCTAAAGATACCGAACAACGGTAGCAAGTGGGTGTCGAATCTGGGATCTTGCTGTAAAGACGATCGGAACCAGCCGAGCTATCCACTGGGGCATTCATGATTACCCTCTTAACTAATAACTTTTGCTCTTTGATACCTTGTTCAATCTTTTTTTTTTTCACAATATTGTGAAATGAAATAAACCCAAATCCAGTGGGTGCAAAGAGCGAGATGAAATTCTTGCACTCAATTGTTGCATGCTTCTGCAATCTGAACCTTACCTTTTATTCCTTACAATTGATTTTGTCACTAGTTAAATGTAAAACAAACTCATAGATCATATGTTGAGTACCGTCCAAATACTCCCATTTTGAGCGGTTTCAGTCCTGCAACCATAAGGGGAAACAAATCATGAAATTATTACCTTGCTTACGAGTTTAAATAAATGATTTTTTTTTCCTGAAATTTCACTTACTAATAATGTAAATTCGACATCAATTGTCCCAGCTTCAGGATCAGCAATTATCGTGAAGGCTTCTTTTGAAAGAACAATAGATTGTTCACAATCGACGCAGTGATCAATGGTCCTTACAACCACGCTTTCACCAGTACAAGGGGTGGCGGAACCTTGGCTTCTTGGCCCTATGCACGTCACATTGTACCTTTTATCGCACCTAGCTCCACCATCCCAATATTGATCGCTGAGGGACACAAATTTAATGCCGGTTGGAAGTTTATAGCAAGCATTTGCTGCAGATGAAACCCCATGTTAAATATGTTGACATATATAAACACATATCTCACACAAACACACACACACACATATATATACATCCATATAAACACAGATATATATATACACACGCATACATGCATACACATATATATAGCATGTATGCGTGTGTATATATATATCTGTGTTTATATATGTACATCCATATAAACACAGAGATATAAATATACATGCATACATGCATACATACATATATATATATATATATATATATATATATATTAGAGTCATCGAAGGCTACCCGAATTGGATGCACATGATAAATTCGATCCGATCCATGTAGTATTTTTTCTTTTAATGTTTAAAGTTAAATCTGCTAATTTATACTAATTTTGTCTAATTGTTTCTTATTTCTTATGTCTATACTTTCTTTGAATTATATAAAGGGTTTTTAAGTTGGGAAGCATATTATCATAGAAATTTTGGATGAAGTATTGGCCTCTACTTTGTTTTTAAATGCTACTCAACTCCTTTATCCCAAAAAGTGAAAAGAATGATGAAAATCTATCTTATGACAAACAAAGGATGAATTTATCTATTAGAGTAATAACTCTTATATTAGTAAAATAACCCACTCTCATAATTTATATTTGTGGGGGTAAAAAGTTTGGATGATCGTGTTTTTTTTCCCCAAAGACGATATATTCTTATTCTCACGCCCCATCAGCGAATCGGACCCTACTACAACAACCAGTTATAACATACAGGACACAGATAAAAAAAATCTCCAAAATTTTAGAAATCAAAGACTTTCTCCCTCAAATAGAAAATTCAATGTATAAGAAAATTGCACTTCAAAATTTGGTATCTACGTTTATATCTTCTAATCATTCGTATACTTTTCATATACTTAGAATAAAAAATGAAATATTCAATGCAAATCAAATATCTAATTGGTCCTATTCGTTTAAAACGGGTATGGAATTAACGGATATCCGCTTTGAATGAACCTGGATATGAATCACATAATAAATAATAAAATCCAAGCTGTAAACAATTGATATGATCTAACCTGTAAGTATCCCTATTGCTGATACTGGAATCAAGAAATAACAAAAATTCGAGTTGGAAAAATGGTACTCACGATAGTATCTTGTAAAGTATACAGCTGTTCCTTTTGTAGCCAAAGATGGAGATACAAGACCTAACACAAAGCCAAAAACTACGAGGGCATGTAAATTCTTCGTAGTCATCTCCCTTTTCTTTCTCTTTTTCTTATGATGAATTCTAACGGTATTCTTATGAGTGCTAAAACACATGTATACTGTATTGGAATTGACCATGCCTTTTTATAGTTCAAAGTTTGAGGACATCCCAAGGGGGAAAAAGGAAAGCATTTCCACCTAATTAAGAAGTATTTCCACTTAAAAGAAGGGACATTTATGGTTTAACCAACTTGGAGATTACCTTTCAAAGTTTTTGTCATCTACCATTCATTTTTTTTACGATATGTCTAATGGATGCCCATAAGGCACTCATTAAAATATATTTCAAGTGTCATATTTTTGAAAATGTAAAATTAACTAGATAAAGTAAATAAATGCAATAGAGGGTAGGTAAGATTAAATAGAAAAAATATATAAATGCAAAGGAGGATAATAATTGTGAATATGTGCATATATATTATATGTTAGGTGAATATTAGATATGTTAACGGGTGCCTTAGAAAAACCCATTTTTTTAACATAGATGAAAATTTTCTTTGTCAATTTTTGGATAAAAAGCATTAATTAGGAAAATCAATTTAGTTCAAATTTTGGTTTATTGCCTCCAATAATTATGGTTTCTATAAGATTGCAGGTTCATTAAGTGTTGGATAGTTATTGTGCTACTTAATTTGATAAAATTGCATTGTTTGACCACCTGATAAAGAAGGGCCAAATTTATGCTAACAAGTTCCAAAGGGCCAAATTTATGGAGAAATTTCTAAATTTGTGATGAATTTCAAAAAAATTCTGCAAATGGGTGAATTTGGCGTGGGGTTCTGACCAGGGGTCTTCGCATTCAGTAAATACGAGATTCAGATAAGCTTAGATTCAGCAAATGTGAGCTCTCAAAAATTTTTAAGGGTTAATTTTTTTTCCAAATAGCAGCAGCATAAATTACATAGATAGGGGCTAGTATTGAAGTAACTTAAGGGGTTTTTCTTGACTAATATGGACGTGAATGTATAGAGACAGGATAATAGATGACGCGGATTGTCTAACCAAAAAAGAGAAGCTATAAATTGGATTGTCTAAATAATAGGTCTATGTTATTTTGCAATGCCGAGGGGACGTACCGATAAGAGCTAAATTTGTCTTCTTTTTGAATATGTTCTATATCAGCTTTGAGTCCATTTGTAAGATCAAGTGGTATAAATTGTCCATTTTGTGTCACTAACTTGCACCTTCAGCTAATAAATGGAATAGTTGTGATTGTTGTTATTTTACATGCAAAATCTCTTTTGGTCGTATGTAAAATGATCTAGCTTAAGTGGAAATGAAATGAGGAAGGATTTGAAGTTGGAAAAGTGTACATGTGATGTGGTAAATGAGGTGAGTTTGCACTAAAAAAAGGATAAAATGATCTTGTTTAAAAGAGGGGATATTGATTTGGAGAGTATTAGTTCAAAGTGTGGAAAAAGGAACTGTATTTGAATGTCATATCAGTAACCGCAAGAGTAACCACTCGCAGTTTGCATTTCTTTACCAAAAATCTTTATCTTTTTTTTTCAAAAACATGAATCTCACATTTATCAAATCAGAAACATGAATTTCGCATTTCATAAATGCGAAGATTCTACTCCTAGAATCAATCCCAAAAACAACGCCTCTTGTAGAAATTTTTTTTTCATAACAAATTAAGAATTTACTCCAAATTTATGCCAGCTAGCTAAACTGAGAAATATTGATAATCTTATTATGACTTAAAAAATGAAAACAAACCATATTAACTTTAAAGTTATTCATGCTCGAAAAAGTTGCACACTAATCTTCTACCATATGGCAATATTATGAGAAATACTGACTTTGTTCCGACCAAGTAAAACCAGATAATAAATAGTTGTTCTTGCCACCTTTAACCGTTCTATTTTTTTGGGGCTCCATAGATCCTAAATAATATTTTTAAATGATTTATTTGACAATGAAAAAAGTTGTTTGATATAATGTATTAAAATATGATCGACTAATGAGGTGCCTAGGTGTGAGTTTTGTAGAAAAGTGTGGTTAAGTTAGAAAAACATCTAAATGTAGGGATGTAATAATTATAATTGTGTTTGTTTATATGATAAGTTAGATATAATTTGAATATGCTATGGAGTACCCATTAGAAAATGTTTAAAAATATTATAATAGATTCATAAATACAATCATAAGCTTCTTCCAACAAAAAAATTCATAACGTAACGTGTAGTAAATAAAACTCCAAATATTCATCAAGATAGAAAAAGAATGTGAATCTAGAATTTCTAAATTTTGAAATCTCAACCTTATATGACAATATTATTAGACATTAGTTATTTCCTTTTAGGGTAACTTTTTATACTTAGTGTATAATTTTTTTATAATAACAAATTCAGATCATATCATATAATATGAATTTGAAATTCAATTTATATATATATATATATATATGGCTAATATCCAAATCTATTAGTGTTAAAAAATTACAACACTATCGGTGCACGAAAATTAATCCATTTTTTATTAGTATTCTTATTTTTTAATGACGTAAGCCAATGAATTAATTATTGGATCATTTGAAACCCGAACTTGCAATAAAGCCCCACCAACCGAAAGGCCTGAGCTGACAATATTTTTAATACTCCTAAAGCCCCTAAACTTTTCCCATAATTCCAACCATGTCCTTGGACAGAATGGACTCCTCATCGGACTCCCCGTCGACGTCGTTTAGCAACCGCGACTGGTTCTTCCCTTCCCAATCCTTCCCAAACTCTTCCCACCATATCCCAAGAACACCCATCCGTAGATTCTCCTCTCCTTATCCAAAACGGGCTGCAACGCCGTCGTTTCAGAGCTTTCCGGCCAGTCCTCCGCCGCCGCCGTCGACTCCTTCAATATCTAATTCTTCTCCTCCTCCTCCTCCTCCTCCGCCGGCTAACTACTACGCCAAGTATGCCGGCGTACGACGCGGTTCTGCTTACCTCAGTCGTCAGTTGCCAAATCAGAAGTCAACGAGTCAGAACGACGGCGGTGGAATTGGTGGTCAAGGAATTAAGAGCAAGTCCGACGACGCCGTTTCTGAGTTCAGGGAGGATAGTAAAACGACGACGGAGCCGGCGGGCAAGAGGCTGACTGGCTTATTCGGTGGCCGGTTGATTGTTCGTTGGCAAACGGCTTTCACCGCTGCAGTGAGTTTTGACTTTAACTCCTGTCCAGTTCTACGTGGCATGTTATAACAAATCTGTAACAAAATTTCAATTTAGTCCCTTATGTTTTTTAATAGGTTTAATTTTATCCCTTATGTTTCTTTCTTAACACATGTAGTCCTTCATGTATTCCTGTTTGCTGTGCAAAATAGTATGCGGAGCTGACGTAGCACCGGCGTGTTTGGTTGCAGGTATTAGTAACAGCATTTTCGTCGTTGGTGCATAAAAATTTTGCGTTACACAATGAGGTTATTCGTTTACAGGTAATGTATGTTTTTCACCACCTTAATACTAACAAATTTTGATCTTTATGTAGAATATTAATATTAGTTTCTGTAATAGTGTTCAAGTTTAGATGGTAAACAGCAGAAATCTTGAAATATGTAGTGTAAGAATAGACTTTAAATTCATCTAAAGATTGAATCTAGCATAAGGTCAGCTTAATTTAGTGCATAAGTTTAATACAATGTAACCATTTAACAGCTTAGCAGTGTTTCTCACATTCTGATAATAATAATGTTTTTATAGCTAAATAGTTTTGAAATTGCTATGGGATTCAATTAAAACCATAACATGATGGCTTTGGCTAGCTTGAGATGCATTGTCAAGTATCAACTCTGGTGAAACCTTAAATATTTTGGTTAAATTGTTTCGAAAGAATTTAGCTTTGATTTCATTTACCGCTGGATTCCACATTTTGCCTAAGTTGTTACTTGAATGTGTGGTAGTTCTGTTTAGGCTTCAATTAATCAAGCAATCAACATTGTTTAAGTCCCATGTGATGATAGATACTTATCTTTTGTCGATTGTGAAAATTGATTTTCTTTAATATTTTTGTGAATAATAAGTTAATAAGTACTCCATAGATGATATTACTACACCATATATTCCTTTTGATCACCTTTTGTTTTGTTTTTCTCCTCTTTGTTCCTTTTCCACAAATTGCAGGATCAAATTTTCAAGCTCAATCACCGGTTACTGGTTTGCAGTTTGCTTGATTCTATAGATGATATTGATTCAACGACACACGACATAAACCATCTTTCTAACAAAAGCTTGAAAAACATAGCTGTAGTCGCCTCACTAGCATTGCTATCAATTCCATTTCTTTTTCTCAAGTATGTTGACTATGTCTCAAATTCGAGAAGATTGTCTGACATTCTCACAGAGGAAGTATCTTTAAACAAGCAGCTGGCATACAGGGTTGATGCTTTTTTATCTGTCCATCCCTATGCTAAGCCACTCGCCTTGTTAGTTGCAACAGTACTACTTATTTGTCTTGGCGGGTTAGCACTTTTTGGGGTTACAGATGACAGCTTAGCAGATTCCCTATGGTTATCTTGGACCTATGTTGCAGACTCAGGCAATCATGCTAATTCCGAGGGCATTGGTCCGAGGTTAGTGTCAGTGTCCATTAGCTTTGGTGGGATGCTCGTATTTGCAATGATGCTGGGACTCGTTTCAGATGCAATTTCTGAGAAGTTTGACTCACTGAGAAAAGGAAGAAGTGAAGTTGTAGGGCAAAATCACACTCTTATCCTTGGGTGGAGTGACAAGTTGGTAAGCCTTTGCTCTTCAAACCTTAATTAGAAGTAGTAGATTTTCTAGTGTTGCTTTTGGAGTACCTGCAAGCATTTTCTTTATTTATTTATTTTTTCCATCAGTCTAGTGATACATAATAACCTTGTTTTTATCCTCCTTTTAATCTCCAAAATCTCATCCAATTTTAGCCCTGTTATCAATAATAAATTCTTTTTTGAGAGTTGAAGATGTATTTTTCATTTATATTCTGTTTATCTAGTTCTACATCATCTGCTATCAAACTTGCTTTGCTTTCAAACAAAGAATGTGTATATGCTTGAT